AGGTAAGCCTGTGGGGACCGGGGCTGTCCACTGTGGCTTCTGGCTCTTGTTACCCTCCATGCAGCCAAGGCTCCTCCAGCTCCACCTGAGCTGCCCCAGGGGCTGCGTCCTCACCTTCTTTCCTCACCCTGCCCAGGATCCGGCTGCTCTCGCGTCCCCTGCCCACCCCTCCTCCATCCACACACCCTCTTCCCTGTCCCCAGCCTCCACTCACTGATTCAACAGAATCGGGCTGAGCGCCTCCCTCGTAGGAGCAGGAGGAAACAGGAAGTGAAACAGACAGGACTTCTGTGCCTAGGTGGCCGGCAGCCAAGGGGAGGCTGGAGGGGGACGGAGGGGGACACACATGGGATCCCCTGTGGCCTCTGCCGTGCATCATCACACTCTGAAAAGTGAGGCAGGAGGTCCATAGGGAAGACCACGTTCAGAAGGGAGCACAGGGGCAGCAGGCTGACCCATCCTTGAGCTGGGGAGGCTGCCTGGGGAAGTGAAGTTGGAGCACGCCCCGGGGGCCTAGTAGGCACTTGTGAGGCCCTAGGAGGACGGAGCCGGGCCCCTTGGGGCTCAAGGGACCCCGCCTAGTGGTGGGGCTCAGAATGAGGGGAGCAGCAGGTAGGAAAGACCTGGAGAGGGCAGAGCCGGGCAGGGAGGCTGGACCGGAGCATCCATTGTTTGACTCTGAAGAGATCATGCAGGCGCAGTGGGGAGACTGGATGGAAGAGGAGTTGGGGACATTTCAGCTGAAACATCTACTCGGCTGTTCGCAGCCCACATTTGGGAAATGAGAGGACAAGGATGAGTCTGAGTCCTAGACTGAGAATGAACCGGGTGACTGGTCATGCCAGCCTGGGAAACTGGGACATCTGGGAAGACCCCACAAAGCTTGGGAGCGACATCGTCTTACAACGTGGAGCATCTTCAAGATGACTTTGAGGGTCTCCATGGAGAGGGGAGAGGCAGTTGGATTTATGGGTGTGGAAGTTCACAGAACCCTGAGCTGGAGATCAAATTTGGAGGGCTTGGGCCCAAAAGGATCAACTCTTAGGAACTGCTGTTGCTCCAAAGCCCTCCTGCCCCAGCCCACACAGCCTCAGTGGGAGGCAGAACCAGCTGGCTATGGCTGTGATCCCTGAAGCCCAGGACCCTGGTCCCTGCTGTCCCCTCAGTGAGAAATGAACGATTCTTCACAGAGTTGCATGGGACAGCATTGCCTCCAGCTCCAGCCTGGCCTCGGGCAGCCTTCGACCCCCAGCGTCCTCTCAGGGTGAGGGACTCTTCTCCGCACCTCTGCAGGACGGCATGAGCCACCACCAGCACAGTGATGCCTGTGGCATGCGGGCCTTCTGCCCCCTCTCAAGGGCAAGTCTAATAAAGCCAAGTTCAGGGACCACAACCACAACGTGTACAGAGTGGTCACCACTGCTGAACTCCCTTAACCACGTGGAAGGCAGGTGTCCCGGCTCAGGCTTAGCTGCATTCTCCAATGAATGAAGACACGATTCTGGGTGGTTTAGTTTTTGTTTTTGTTTTTTTTTTAGTTTGTTTTAGAGACAGGGTCTCACTCTGTCACCCAGGCTGGAGTGCAGTGATGTGATCACGGCTCATTGCAGCCTTGACCTCTTGGCCTCAAGTGATCCTCCTGCCTCAGCCTCCCAAAGTGCCAGGATTACAGACATGGGTCACCGTGCCTAGCCTTACCAGCCCTTTAGTAATAAGCACTTTTCAGAGAACTGAAGCTCTTCAGCCTGGAGATGAGGCACAGATATCACCCTGGACACTGGAAGTCTGGTTGGATGCTGGGGTCAGCTAAGAACAAAATGACACTGGAGAACAGAGGCTGTGGCTTGGCTGCCTTGCCCCTGCAGGAGGAGCCTGGACTGGCCCCAGGTGGTGCTGCCTTTGCTGTCCTAGGAGGGGCCTGGCAGGGTCCTTTCAATCCCGGAAATGCTGTGATCAGAGCCAGTAAGCTCCCACTGGCAGCTTCACCTGCCCAAAGTAGAGTCTGCCTTCATCAGCACAATTCACTCAGTGACTGTTCTGGAAGGTGCAGGGCTATCAAAAAACAATTTTAAGTCCCTGCTTTCAGGAAGTCAAGCATAACGAATAACATGCATCCATGAGAACTCTACACGAGGGGCTGAGGTCTCTGGGGCTCTGGTGAGCCATCCACCCAGACTGTGTGCTAGAACCCAGGGGAGGGGAGATCAGGCTGCAGGCTGCAGCGCGGAGACTGGATGGAAGGGGGTTTGGGGACTGGGGGGGTCAAGAATGAATCCGGGCCCGGCTCGCACGCTATGCGGCAGCAGTGAAGCCCGAAGCAGGGACACGTCTAGTGGGTGAGGCTGAACACCAAGAGCCTTGGATTCTGAGACTGAGCCTTGGGGCCCCTGGAGGGCTGCTAGGTGGTTCTGAGCAGCAGATGAAGCTGGGATTCGGGGCCCCAGAGTCCTGGAAGTGCACTGTGCAGAATCTCCCCAGAGGGTGCTGGCTTGACCATTACCGTTTCATTGACCATTTTACTACTATTTACTACCACACTACCACCAAGTTTTACCATTGACGTTTACACTATTATTCACTTACAGAGAATGATTAAAATAAATGTGCAGTTTGAAAGGCAAACTGCAGCTGGGCACGGTGGCTCATGCCTGTAATCCTAGCACTTTGGGAGGCTGAGGCGGGCGGATCACGAAGTCAGGAGTTTGAGACCAGCCTGGCCAACATGCTGAAACTCCATCTCTACCAAAAATACAAAAATTAGCCGGGTCTGAAGACGCACACCTGTAATCCCAGCTACTCAGGCGGCTGAGGCAGAAGAATCCCTTGAACCTGGGAGGCGGAGGTTGCAGTGAGCCGAGTTTGCATCACTGCACTCCAGCCTGGGCAACAGAGCAAGACTCTGTCTCATTAAAAAAAAAAAAAAGAAAAGAAAAGGCAAACCGCATTACTATGGTCCACAGAAAACCAGTCACATGAGCCACCAACAGAAGAGAACACAAACTAAGACCAAGGGAAGCCATGTTCCTAGCACTGTGCCGTCCCTGCTCCCAGCTGAGGCTTGGAGGAGGCCTACCCTGCTGATCACACGGAGGAGAACCAGGGCTCCGAGGCCATCCGCACACACCGGGGTGGCATCCCCGACACTCCTGTGGGGAAGCAGCGTTGCCGTGCCCTGAAGACTCATGTCTGAGACGGGCAGGCAGCACCGCTCTTATCAGCCGGCTGGACAGTTTTACATCTCAGGGAAGGGCACCGTGTCATGGATGTAAATGAAACGGCACAGCAGTATCTGTGGTTTCTAGTGGTGATGAAGTCCATGTGCTGTTAATGGAGGAAATGCTAAGTTGCAGTTAGACATTAATGACAATAAAGATGCAATGCTTTCTCATGGTGATGCATGGGGCCCCAAATTCTCCCCAGACCTCTGGACCCAGCGTAAGGCCCCAGTGCCTGCTGGCCAGGCTAGGGTTTGGGGACCTTACCACGGCATGTTTTCTTGGTGAGGCCATGCCAACATTCCTCGTTTCTCACACTTAGGACCCCTCCCAGGAGTGGGGGGAATGTAGCCCTCCAAGGAGCCGGTGGTCTCGGGCCTGCCACCCACAGCCAGAGGTTTCCGACCCCAGGCCACTGGTGTTTTCCCTGCCAGTGCAAGTGAATTCTGGAAGGAGGGTGCCTGGGAGGTGGGCGTGGGGGTGGTGGGTGGCTTCAAGCGTCCAAAGACCAGAGGGAAGGCCCTGCCTCATGGAGCTCTGTGAGCAAAGGCCAGGAGGCACCCAGCACCCCGAGTCCATGCCAGCTGGCATCGGGGGAACGTGGAGATCAGCCTCCCGGGGGCCGCCACCTCCAGGGCCCTGCAGGGAACAGGGCTGCCCTGAGCATGCCAGGGCTCTGGGAATGTCCCCCCACCGCCGTCACATCCCAGTCACCTGGCTGGCGGAGGGCCACCAGAGAGGAAAGAGTTTGAAAAACCAAAGTCCTTTCTGCCCCAAAATATTTTTTATTCTTGCATTACATTTGTGTTTCCAATTGTGAATAAAAAATGCTTAGAAAGTGGTTACAAAACAGCGTGAACTGGACAGGAGGAGCAGCTGGCCCTGAGGGTCCGTCACATCTCCACTTAGACGGCGTGAAGTGGGCCTGGCGTCTAGGCGGGGTCAGTCAGGCTTCTCACCCTCAGGATCTGGAAAACAAAACCGCGCACTCACTGTGAGCCCGCTGCGGTGCTGGCCGCTCGCCGAGGCCGGGCCCTGACGCCCTCCCGAGCTGCCGACAGGAAGGCCGCGCCAGCTCTGCCGTGACCCACGCCCTGTGTAGATGGTCTTGTCCTCAGCATAGCCCTGGCAGCCTCTGTTACCTGGGCCACCCTTCTCTGTGTGACCGGTCAGCACACTAAACGGCTGCCAGAAACCCAGACGCTCAGCTCCTGGACTGTGCGAAGCATCTGGGAGCGAGCTGCCCCCAACACCCAAAACAGGAGGCTCTGGGACGAGCGCTCCTCCTCCCTCCGTGCAGAAGCTCGAAGGCTGGCGCTGCAGCTCTCTGAGGAGGTGGCCCCACAGCCATGGCAGCCCCCACAGTGGACCAGGCAGGAGACACTGGGACCCTCAGCTTGCTCACGGTGAGGCCTGCGATGCAGCATGTGCAGGAGGGACTGCAGTCAGCTGGAGGCTGTCTTTAGTGGGAGGCCGGGGGGCTGGCTGCCACCATGACTCATGGTGACCCCAGGATGAGTCCCCACCCTGGATGGCCACTTTCCCTAAGGCCCCTGTGCCTACCAGGAAAGCCACTGCCCCTTGCATAATACCCGGGCAACCCCAGCCCCAAGTCCTCTCTCAACAAGCCCAAGCTCGTCCAAGGACCTCCCACCTCCCCTGAGCTCGGCCCACCTGGAGCAAAGAGGGTGGCCCCAGGGGCTGCAGCAAGTGATGCAGACCAAGTCTCCTGGAGACAGGGGCTGCAGGTGTGTCTCGCTGACCAGGAGGCTGGCTCCCTCCATCATGGGCACAGCCTGTGGCACTGCTAAGCGTAACCAGGTGCACAGTGGTAGGAAGCCCAGCCAGCCAACCCGACCGGCAGAGCTGACTGTGCTCAGGGCCCAGGCCACAGCTGGTAGGGGCAGTGTTGGGGGCCAGGCAGCCCTGCCAGATGCCCTGCTCTCAGACCCCTGCCAGGGCCAGCCCTGCCCAGCATCCGGTGGCACCCACAGCCCCTCAGTGCCCTCCTCCAGAGGTGTGGATGCAGCTGAGCCCAGTACTGGCTCCCAACTCCTGTGCTGCCTAGGAGGCTGCTTGGTTTGGATTTTATATGGACAGAGGGTAAGAAAAAGATGTTGTTTCACACTGTTTTCGAGCAAAAGTGTTTATTTTTCTCCTTCAGATATACAATCTCTCGGGGATTCCGTGCCACTGACCACCATGTACGAGGAAGGGATTCACAGGCAAGGGGGACAGGTGAGGGCAGCCCCCACTTCACTCAAGGAACAGGGCAAGGGGGCCCAGTACAGAGAACAGAAATCTCTTACGACAGCATCGTGCCCTGGCAGAAGATTCTGCATAACACCTAGAAAATTCAATTCTAACTGAATTGATGGAATAATAGATTTGAACCAAAATAATGTACCCAGTTCTAATAAGTACAGAAACTATACAATTCACAGCTGGGCAGTCCCAAGCAGCCTGCTTTCCAGCAGGAGGTGGAGGAGGCTGGGGCCTTCCCCTCCCACCAAGGGCTATGTTGTGCCCGCTGGGGACGAGTCCCACTGAAATCTCCAGGAGAAGAATGACCCCGCCCTCCGCAGAGCAGACTGAGTGGTGGACAGGAGAGCGGTCTGCGTGCCAGGGGTGAGCAGAGCCGCAGGCCTCCATGGAAATCATGGAGAAGGGAGGGAAGTGGGCAGGAGAGAGGGCAGCCTCTCCAGCTGAAGGAGCTGTGCTTGTCTCCACAGGGTGGGCGGGCAGCCAGAGTTTCTACGCCCAACACACACCTTATCCTCACAGCAGCCCACTGGCGCCGAGGCATGTTTGCTCACCTAACGTTTTCTGGTGGATTTCTCATGGCCCAGTGCAGCAGCTGACATTCCCTACTGAGCAAGCAGCTCCGCCAGTGTGCCCTGCCCCAGCGTCCTGCCGTCTCTCAGCCCCTGGATGAGCCCAGGGAACCGGCACTCTACTGAGGACAAAGCAGGGCTCGCCTAGCACTGGAAGCTCTTCAGTACTTAAGGTAGCTAATTCAATGTTTTAAAAAGGCATTTACAACAGAAAACCAAAGATTGAACTTCAGCTTCAGATTTGTAAACCATTCACATCTCTGCAACTTAAAACAGTAAATAAAGATTATCAATGCACAAGCCAATTGCAAATGAAACCTTTTCCGATAATTTTTTTAAACATATCTTTTCATCAGGGAACGGAAAAGCTGGCATTCAAGGCACTGTACTTCTGCAGGGTGACGACAAGGTTCTAACCACCAACTCAAGTATAGGAAGTGGGTGTGGAGACGGCGCGTGGACCACAGGAACCTAGGAGCGAACAGGGTCTGAAGCCGCAAAGGAAGCAGTCTTGCTGCCCACCCGCTGTCCCCCTCGCGGCTGAGTGCTGTGCCCACAGCAGGCGGTGGGGGGGACTTGGAGGCCAAACCACACCTGGTTTCTCCGGGCGGTTCCGCGGGCACCATCTGGCAAGGGACAGGGCAGAAGGCTACGTGATCCGCAGCCGGGCGCCGGGCATGCTGACCACAGGTGGCCGCAAGAAGACCGGCAGCACGGGCACCTGCGGGGGGCTCCAGCTGCCCTGTGCCCCCAGCTGGCCCACCTGGCCTGCCCAGGGCCCCCAGGACACTGGAGCTGGGAGCAGGCCTCCGTACTGACCCAGAGGCAGCGCACAGGATGGGGCTGGGAGGCTGGAGAGGGCAGTACCTGGTGTGGGCACGGACAGGGCCGGGGCGGCTCCGGGAATGACCGTGGTGGAGAGCGGGCCGGGCGCTGGGGGCAGACGTGGCATCCCCACTCCTGCTCGAGGTGCGGTCATCTACAAAACACAGAGACGAGAAGAGGAAGGTACACGTGGCTGCAATCAGCTGGCCTCCCTGAGTGGCCCCCAAGGTGCCACGGTTTCTCCATCCTCAGGAGACAGCGGTCCTGGAAGCTGCGGTGACAGGCACCCCCTCAGGGCTGACACCAGAATGATGGTGTGGGGCCACGAACCATCACCCTCCCCTGTTTGCTTCCCCAAGCTGCAGGCTGATAGTCTCTAGGCCACACACCCGATGTCCACCAGCCAGAACGGGCCTTGGAGGAGGACTGGTGGGGCCTGGCCCCTGAGGGCGCGTAAGTGGCCCCACACGCCTCTACTCAGCCACCACAAAGGCCTCCTGCTTGGCTGCTCAGTGCCCTCACAGGAGCATGAACCACCCAGGAGCTGGCAGGCGCAACGCCCCAGGACCTGGGCAAAGCAAGCATGCAGGGAGGTGGTGGCAAGGCAGCCCTTCCACTCTCCCAGCCCGGGGAGAAGCCGTATGCGGGGTGTGCCCCAGGAAGGCAAGGCTGCTGGCCACGGGGAGTCACTCCGCTCCACTCCAGGGAGGGCCCCACTGGGCACTGGTCACAGGTGCATGGAGGGCACTCGGCGACTTCCACACCCCTTCCTGGAAATCATGCTCAGCAGCCAGGGCTGGAGGGGCCTCCTCATCTGGAAGGGCCTCTACGGAACTAACAGCTGAGCCCCTGCCCACAGCAAAATGCCCAACACCTCCCCGAGGTGCCTCCATGCTTCCAGTCGACACAGCAGGGATCTCCAGGCGGGCAGGAAAAGGAGTCACCCGCACAGAATGGACAGAGAGAAGGAGAACTGGCCTCGTGCAGATGATAAGACTGTGTATGCAGAAAACCCACAAGAACGGACAAACCAATTCCTAGAACTAATAGCAAATTTAGCACAATCGCAGGATATGAGATATGAAAGTCAACCATAGTTTTATATTCTAGTAACAGGAAGCTGGAAAAGGAAATTTAAAGAAAACTAGTATTTATGATAGCATTCCAAAACATCAGCTACCTAGGGATAAATTTAATGAAAGATGTATAACATCTTTACACTGCAGAGAAACAAAAAAGACGCCAGTAAATGGACACCACGTTCACAGGAATGCTCGTGTTGTTCGTATGTCTAATCTCACCCAGCTAATCGGCAGACTGAGTACACTCCCAATCGAAATCCCAGTGGGCTAGCCTGCAGAAAGTGACAGGCTGTTCCTAAAACATATGCAAATATTAACGACCTGAAAAAAATCAAGAAATTCTTGAAGAAGATCAATACTGAAAGTCTTTCCTGAGCAAAGATTAAACTTCCTAGAAAACGTCAGTCATTAAGAGAGTGTGGTGTTGCCACAATAAGGGAATTGCTACAGGAAACAAAATAGCAAATTCAGAAATGGACCTACACACCGAAGGCCACTTGACAAATGTCTGCCCAATTCCAATTCAATATGGAGAGGAAGGGACTGGAACGATCAGATATGCATAGAGGAAGAAAACAGACTGACCTCTACATCAGAATATACACGAGAGTTCATTTGAGATGGCTCACCGGACCAAAAGCAATAGCTAAAGCTGCAAAGCTTTTAGGAAAAACAAAATTAAAATTTTTGCCATTTCATGTTCACCACTAAGAAAGCAAAAACAGAAGCCACAGATCAGTAGACTATATCCATTACGGGGTCTTCAAAAAGTTCATGGAAAATACATATCATGAAAAAACTATGCATGACTTTCAAAAAAGATCTTCGCACCCAAATACACTTGTACTAACTCATGATAACATGTCTGAAGAGGAGGCAGTCTGAGGCACTAAGAAGGAGAAGATTTCAGTTTGAAAAGAGCCTCCATCACAATAACGTGAATTCTGCCAAGCAAGAACCAACATCAATCACCTGGATGGTGAAGCTTGGGTGGAAGAATGGTGAGATCACTGATGCTTTCTGAAAAGTTTACGGGCTCCATGCCCCCAAAGAAAATAGCCGTTTACAAATGGTTGACTTGTTTGAAGAAGGGATGGGACCATGCCGAAGACAGAGCCCACAGTGGCAGGCCATCCGTATCACTTGGTGAGGAAAACACTCATCTGGTCTGAGCCGTAAGTGCAGACGACACTGGATAACAGCAGAAGCAGTGGCCAACACCGCAGACATCTCAGTAGGTTCAGCTTACACAATTCTGACAGAAAAATGGAAGTTGAGCAGACTTGCCACTCAGTGGGTGCCAAAACCACTGCACCGAGATCGGGCACAGGGAAACAGCAGAACTGTCCGTGGAAACTTTGAACAAGTGGGATGGAGATCCTGAAGCTCTCTTTGAACTGTAACAACATGAAACATGTTTTTCCCAGTGTGGTCCTGAAGACAAAGTGCAGTCAAGGCAATGGCGCTGAGGGCTGGAAGTGGTCCCATCAGAGCAAAAGTGGGCCAGTCAAGAGCAGAGATTGTGGCAACAGCTTTTGGGATGCTTAAGGCATTCTGCTTGCCGACTTTCTGGAGGGGTAACAAGGAATAGTGGCATCCGCTTAGTATGAGAGTGTTTAGGGAACATTAGCCAAAGCTTCAGCAAAACCCCCCCGGGAAAGCTTCCCCAGAGAGTCCATCTCCATCATGACAGTGCTCCTGCTCATTCCTCTCAGCAAACAAGGCTGATTTTGCAAGAGTTTCCATGGGAGATCGTCAGGCATCTACCCTGCAGTGCTGATTTGGCTCCTTCTGACTTCTTTTTGCTTCCTAATTTTAAAACATCTGTAAAGGGTACCCATTTTGTCAATTAATAATGTAAAAAAGACTCAATGGCCATGGTTAAATTCCCAGAACCATTAGGTCTTTAGGGAGGGACTAAATGGCTGGCATCATTGCTCATAAAAGTGTCTTGAACTTGATGGCGCTCGTGTTAAGAAAAAAGTTTATATTTCTTCTCTAGTAGCTGTAACTATAGGTATGTGCCACCATGCCCAGCTATTTTTTTTTTTTTTTTTTTCGACAGGGTCTTGCTCTGTCACCCAGGCTGGAGTGCAGTGGCACCATCTCAGCTCACTGTACCCTTGACCTCCCGGACTCAAGCGATCCTCCTACCTCAGCCTCTTTAGTAGCTGTAATTATAGGTATGAACCACCATGCCCAGCTATTTTTTTATTTTTATTTTTTTTGAGACAGAGTTTTGCTCTTGTCGCCCAGCCTGTGGTGCAATGGCGCGATCTTGGCTCACTGCAACCTCTGCCTCCTGGGTTCAAGCGATTCTTCTGCCTCAGCCTCCTGAGTAGCTGGGATTACAGGAGCCACCACCATGCTGGGCTAATTTTTTTGTTTTTGTTTTTGTTTTTCCTGTACTTTTAGTAGAGACAGGGTTTCACCATGTTGGCCAGGTTGGTCTTGAACTCCTGACCTCAGGTGATCCACCCGCCTCAGCCTCCCAAAGTGCTGGGATTACAGGCGTGAGCCACCGCACCTGGCAGCCCAACTAATTTTTGTATTTTTTGTAGAGATGGGGTTTTGCCAAATTGCAAAGGCTGGTCTTGAACTCCTGGACTCACTCAATCCACCCACCTCAGCCTCTAAGTGCTGGGATTACAGGTGTGAGCTACCATGGCCAGTCATATATTTCTTATATTTATCTTTTAATTTCATTGTTCTGTGAACTTTTGGAAGTCCCCTTGTATACGACAAAAGATATATAATGAACACCCACAAATCAATAATAAAAAGATAAACAAATCAACTTTTAAATGGTCACTATCCTTGACCAGTCACTTTTTAAAAGATGGCTGATAAGAATATGAAAAGGTGCTCTAAGGCAAATTAAACAATAATGAGAAAACTACTATTAGACCTCAAAATTTTTTTGCAAATAAAATTTCAACTACAATGTTCTACACACAATATTTTAAAAGTCACAAGAAAAGACAAGGCAATATAAAGAAAAACTAGGCCAAAGAGCAAACAAAAACTAAAAAATATTATGTGAAGGAGATACAAGATAGAGATTTTTGGTAGAGAGTTAGAAACCATTTTTTTTTTAAAGATACGGCAGATGTGGTTAAAAAAAAAAAAAAAAAAAATTCAAGTGAAAAACACAATAACCCAAATTAAAAACTGAATAGATAGGTTTAACAGCAGTTTAGACACAAAAATTTACTGACCTAAAATCTAAAGAAAATAAAACAGGAAGGTATGATTCATTCAAGAGGAAAATATTTAACTGACAAAAACATCCCCAAGGAAGCCTAGACATTGGACTTAGTAAACAAAGGCTTTAAATCAAATATCCTAAATGTGCTCAAAGAACTCACGGAAGCCACGGACACAGAACTGCAGGAAGTCAGGAAAATCACACAGGAACACGACGAGGATATCAACAGACAGGAATTATGAAGGGGACCGAGTGGAACTAGAAGAGCTGAAAACAGTAACTGACATTTACAAATTCACTAGAGGGGTTCACTGGCAGATCTGAGCAGGCAGAATAAAGAATCAGCAAGCTGGAGACACTTGAAATGATTGTGTGAGGAGCAGAGGAAAAAGGTGGCAGAGTGGACGGAGCCAGAGGGGTCTGTGGTCCACCATGAGGTGGATGAGTCACACACTGCGGGAGAAACAGGAGAGGAGAGCCCAGAGATGAAGGTTAACTCACGCTGCAATGACTCTCCACGAGGGGGCCAAGACCATTCAACGGGGAAAGCAGTTTTCAACAACTTCTGTGGGGAAAACTGGATATGCACATACCAAAAAAAGAAGGTGGAGCCCTGCCTTGCCTCACAAAAATCAACTCTATCCCAGCACTTTGGGAGGCCGAGGCAGGCGGATCATGAGGTCAAGAGATTGAGACCATCCTGGCCAACATGGTGAAATCCCGTCTCTACTAAAAATAAAATAAAATAATTAGCTGGGCATGGTGGCGGGCGCCTGTAGTCCCAGTTCCTTGGGAGGCTGAGGCAGGAGAACTGCTTGAACCCGGGAGGTGGAGGTTGTGGTGAGCTGAGATTGCGCCACTGCACTCCAGCCTGGGCGACAGAGTGAGACACAATCTTAGGAAAAAAGAAGAAGAAGAAAAAATCAACTCATTCTAAATGTCAAAGCAAAAACCAGAAAACTCTTAATAGAAAACTTAAGGAAAAGGTTTCACGACATTGGATTTCGCAGTGATTTCTTGGATATTACACTAAAGGCATAGGCAACAAATGAAAACAAGACAAATTTTAAAACTTTCGTGCATCCAAAGGCACTACCAACAGATCATATATCTGATAAGGGATTAATATCTGGATTATGCAGAAAATTCCTAAAACTCAACAATGAAAAAAACAAGCTGATTCACACATTGGCAGAAGACTTCAATAAATACTTCTTCAAGGAAGACATAGAAACAGCCAATAAGCACATGAAAAGCTGCTCAATGTCACTACTTAATTAGGAAAATGTAAAGCAAAACCACAAGATACCAATTCACACCTGAGAGGATGGCTCCCATCAAAAACCTGAAAGGATGGCCAAGCGCAGTGGCTCACGCCTGTAATCCCAGCACTTTGGGAGGCTGAGGCGGGTGAATCACTTGTGGTCAGGAGTTCGAGACCAGCCTGACCAACATGGTGAAACCCCGCCTCTACTAAAAATACAAAAATTAGCTGGCCATGGTGGCAGACAACTATAATCCCAGCTACTCGGGAGGCAGGAGAATTGCTTGAACCTGAGGGGTGGAGGTTACAGTGAGCCGAGATCGTGCCATTGCACTCCAGCCTGGGCCAAAGAGCAAAACTCTTGTCTCAAAAAAAAAAAAAAAGAAAACAACAAAAAAACAAAAACAAAAAACCCAGAAAGGAAATCTTCTGTTGGCACAGATGTGGAGAAACTGGAAGTTTTGTGCACTGTTAGTGGAAATGTCAAATGGTATAGCTGTTATTGAAAACAGTTCCTCGAAAAACTATCATATAATTATCATATGATCCAGCAATTCCACTTCTGGGTTTATACCCAAAAGGATAAAAGCAGGATCTTGAAGGGATACTATGTTCACAGCAGATTAATAACAGCTAAAAGATGGAAGTCACCCAACTGTCCACTGACAGAAATGACAGACAATCCCATAACAGGATTCCACTGAGAATGGATGTGGTACACAGATACAATGAACTATCTCTCGGCCTTCAAAGGAAAGGAAATCGGACATGCTACAACATGGATGTCATCAAGGGTGCCCTTGGAGGACATTTTGCTAAGTGGAATAAGCCAGTGGAAAAAGACAGACACTGTGTGATTCCACTCTATGAGGTACATAGAGGAGTCAAAGTCAGAGAGACCGGAAGCAGAATGGAAGTTGCCAGAGGCTGGGGGAGGGACAATAGGGAGTTATTATTTAATGGGTACAGAGTTTCACACAATAAAAAAAGGTGGAGATGAACAGTGGTGGTGGCAGCACAGTATTCTGGATTTATTTGTTTTTGAGACAGCGTCTTGCTCTGTCGCCCAGGCTGGAGTGCAGTGGTGCGATCATAGTTCACTGCAGCCCCGAACTCCTGGGCTCCAGCAATCCTCCCACCTCAGCCTCCCGGGTGGCTGGGACCACAGGCATGTGCAACCACGCCTGGCTGATTTTAAAAAGTTCTGATACATACTACAACATGGATGCACCTTGAAAACATTGTATCAAATGAAATAAGCCATTCACCAATCATACACATACGGTATGGTTCCATTTATATGAGGTACTTAGAGTTGTCAAAGTCATAGAGACAGAAGGAAGGACAGAGGCTCCCAGGGCCTGGGAAACCAGAGGTGCCAGAGAGAGGGCTGGGGAACTAGTGTTTAATGGGGACAGAGTTTCCTTGGGGAAGATGAAAAGGTTCAGTGGATGGATGGCGATGGTTGCACAGTGCTCTGAATGTACTTCATGCCACTGAACTGTACGTTTGAAAATGGGTAAAATGGTAAATTTTGTGTTTTATATTTTTTGCCATGACAAAAATAATAGTTAAAAAAAAACCCTTATACTTAAAAAGAATCCAGAATATCTGAACAACAGTTAGCTCTGCTAATCCTGAACGCCGACATAGCTGGAGCCCAGGCAGCAGAGATGGGCCTGCCCAGGCTCCAGGTGCAGCCTCACAGAGCTGTGGGGCCATGTTCAGGATTCCTGACTTTGTCCTAGAATAATGGGGTTCCACTGAGAATCAATCTGAGGACTCAGACTGGCGGAGGTGTACCTGTCAAGAGGACTCTGCAGTGGTTCAGAACGGAAGCCACAGTAGTGGAGCTTGGGAGTGTGGATGTGGAGAGAGGGAAACAGATTCAGCTCCAGCATCTGGAACAGCAACAAAGACTGACAGCCGGGTCAACAGCCAGTCCCGGAAGATCTCCACAGACCGAAAGCACCGAGTCTGCTCTCCTAGCACAGTGCGGCCACACGAAAACACCCTGACAAAAGGTCATCTGAAAACTAACAACCACACTTACTTCCAATAGCAACAGAAATTATACAATATCTTCAAACAAAAGTTAATGAGAAGCTGCACACTTTGGGGATGCAGCTAAAACCATCAGTGGGCACTTTATACCCTTGAATGCCTACATTATCATGGAAAGGCTAGAAATCAATGAACATGTCTTAAGAAACTTTCCAGAACAACAAAATTAACCCAAAGATAGAAGGCAAGAAATAAGAAAATAAATTAATGAAACATACACTAAAGACTATCAAACACAAAATGTGTTCTTTGAATGGGCTAATAAAATGTACACCCCTAAGGAGACTGCATAAAGAAAAAGAAAGAGCAAAGGGGAGGCAGAGAGAGAGGAGGCAGAAATCACCACCATCAGGAATGAAATCAGGACATCACTGTAAATCCTGCAAATGGAAAAAAATAAAAGCTATTATGGATAATTTTATGGCAATTTACAATTTTAGATAAATTTAGAGGAGAGATACCAATCGCCAGAAAGGCAGAATTTAACAAAACGAAACAGAAAATCCAAATGGTGTGAAAAGTTTAGAAGAAATTGAATCCATAGTAACAACTGGACCCTCAAGGAATGAACAGGTGTGTGATAAATACAGCAAAAATGTCAGTTAGAGTGTACGTAGTGGGTCTAACTAAGGATGTTCACGGCAGAATTTTCAACTCTCCTGTGTGTTTGAAAATTTGTAAGGTAAAAGATCATAGAGCAAAGTATCCCACGCTAAAAAAGAGAAAAACAAAACTCCAGCCCAGATGGCTTCACAAATGACCTTTACTAAGTATCTGAGATAGAAATAACACCAGTCTTCCACGAACCCTCCAGAAAGCTGGGAAACAGCAGATGCTTCTCCAACTCGCGCTGCCATCAGAACAAGTTAGGTGTGAAACCTGGGACAGCAGGTCCTCACTTCTGCCCCACGTTGGCTCAGGTGCGTGCGAGCTACGGCCCGAGGCTGGTGTCACTTGGGTGACATGGCCAGCTGCCCTGGTCTGCAGCCTGGGCACAAACAGAACCCAGGCAGAGGTGGGCCCGTCCGCCAAGACCGGGGCCACCTGCTCTGAGTGCAGGGCTCGGGCTGCCCAGGCTGGGGCTGCTGCTGTATCTGAGCTGTGGAGTCACAGCCCCGGCCTGGCCTGGCCTGGCCTTTCCACCTGCCAGCTGCAGAGCTGTGGGCGCGTCGCTCACCTCCCAATCTGTAATGTGGAGAAGCCTAGTTCTTGGGGCTGTGGGGAGAATGAACTCGGATCATGAAAGTGAAGAGCTTAACTGGACACCCCTCTGCCACACAGGGCACTAGCAAATGCTGGAGGCAAGGCTACCCCACCCCAGGAGCCCCCGCCCCGCCCGCCCCGCACTCACAGCCCGCGCCTCGCCAGGGGCAGCCCAGCCTGCCTGGGCCTCCATGTCCTGCAGCCTCTGGGTCTGCTTCAGCTGGTTGAGCGTGGGCTTCAGCTGTGCGGCCCCCACCGTCTTGCTCGTCCACTCATCCACCAGCTTGTGCAGGTCGTCCGTGAAGGTGCCCTTCTTGTTGTTGCTGTTGTTCACCTGCGCCTGGACGTGCAGGGCGGGCTGGGGGCCTGGCTCAGGGCCTGGGGCCAGGCTGCTGGTGGAGGACCCTGGGGAGTCACACACAGGCCAGGATTGGTGACGCCACACATGCGCCCAGGCCCCCAGTGGGCTGGCCGCATTCGTTCTTACGTGACAGCTGAGACAATGGTCTCACTCGGGCCAGGCAGCACCTTGCTTCAAGAGGCGGTCGGACTAAGGGGCCTGGCTGCCCAGGGTCAGACACGGTGGGGCATTTCCATGGGCTGTGCCAGGTGGCCATCACCCACCTCAGAAGCCAGGCCAGGGGACAGGACCCTGCAGCAGCCGGCAGCCTCTGCTCAGCATCCACTCTGTGCCCACCGCTGCCCATCCCCAGACTCACGTGTGAGAGAGCTCAGGAAACTCCTGGCACAGCCAGACACACTGGGCTTCGGCGTCACGGTGCCTAGAGTCAGGTTCCTCGGGCTCTCTCTGGCCTGTGCATCCTCAGCCGTAACGTGAGGACGCGGGGGCGGTGGAGTACTGTGTGAGCGCTCAGCACACGCGGCTGGCTGGCCTGCAGGCGGCCCCCTGGCCCGCGGGAAAATGCCTGCCAGGGCTGTCTGACTTGCATTCCCATGAATTTTAATGGTCTGGTGGTTTGGAATTCCAGACGTAGAAATTGTCCTGACCAGAGCGTTAGAGGAAGGTATTCATAAAGGGTACCCATGCCTGGGGCTGCCTGATGAGGCCCCACCAGCTCCTGCCGTGGGCTGCGGCCAACGCCCTGCTGCAGGAGCGAGCTGGGAGCCGCTCTGCTGACTATTAGCACACCAGAGCACTCGGCTGCTTCATTCAAAGCATAAACGAGACTGTAAAATTTTTAAATCATACCCTTTCCACGCAACACATGTCATTTCTGGTTGGCAATTTTGAATAGGCCAATTTAAAAATGTTCTGCATAGAAAAACAGCCTAATGACCATCTCTTCAAACAAGCTGTCCCAAAATGTAGTGGACTTTAGTGGCTAGCAATGAAAAAGCACAGACACAGACAATTAAAAATTAGTGATGAGATTTGACACACATGGAGCTATTCCTACATGAAAAGTTCAGCCAGAAAAGAAAAAAAAATTTTTTTCAAGAGAGAAAGATGAGAGAGAGAGAGAAGGTGAGTGGCCCAGGGAGACTAATACCCACTCAGTCCTGGCATCTCTCCTCGTGGGGAGGCACTCATCTTTAGGACTTCAAGGAAATACTCATTCCTATGGTTTTGGAAAAGGAGCCAATTAATGATTGGCAATTCGCGGGTGTTCCGGGGAAGGATAAGCCCGTTAGATGTGAACTGGCGAGACCGCACAAACTCTAGGCGCCACGGAGACACACGGGGGAGCCGAGGGCAGCGATCCCGCCAGGCAGAAGCGAGGCGGCGCCTGGCCGAGAGGCATGGAGCAGGCGCGGGGCAGGCACAGGGCCGGCCCACGCCCGCCCAGCCGCGGGAACCCTGATGTGTACTAGCCACGAGAAAGCCCATGCAATGAGAGAGGACAAAGGGGGAAAAAACCCGGATAATTACTACTGCTGTGTTCTTTGCCTAGGCAGAGACGCTTCAGGGCAGACCCTGCAAGGGAGAAAGAAACGACACAAGACCACAGAGTTAGGCAGAACAGCACACACCGGGACACGCTACCACACTAAGCAAAAGTCGTCAGTGTGCAGGGAGGGGCAGACACAGGCAGCAGTTCAGAGAGAGGGCCGACCCGGCTGGGGGAAACGGGGCAGCCCCCGGAGAGAGGGTGCAGGCTCCCACGAGCTTCGCCGAGGGGGCAGAGGTGCCAGGGCCAAGCCCCCAAGCTTCAGGGAGAAGTGTTTGTCTCTAGAAGCATATTCAAAGAAAAGTAAAAGAGAAAGAAAAAAGAAAAAAAGAAAAAAGCAAAGCACAGCGCTTGGCTTTCAAACATCAGGCTTCTGGGAGCCCCACTGACGGAGGCAGGACACCCTGCTGAGAGTCGGCCACGGGAGCTCTGGAATGGAGCCGGGCACGGCTGGGCTTGGCCGCCGAAGCCCATCAGAGGTTTTCCAAGTGCAAAAAGATACATTGTTTTGCAGGTTGGAGGCCAAGTCTGGATCTCAGATGGCTGCCTCAGGTGATGAGGTCAGCGGCAGGCATTGAGTAGAGGACCCGAGGGTTTCTATCTAGGGACTGACCCCAATGTCTGGGGACACTGCCGCCTCATTAGAAGTCAGTATCTACAAGGGCTAGGGCAAGGCCTCAGCCTGGAACACTTCTGGCCTCCTTGTAATTCGGACCGCCACTAAACTGACTGGTCCCAACTACCCAGAGGCCACCTGGTGTACACTGGATGCAACGTCCTAGCCAGTCAGTGCCCAGCCTGGTGGGGACAAGGTCCCCAGGGCAGGCTGGGCCGGAAGGCGCGGCCATCCCCGCTTATCCTTATGGGCAGGCAGAGCTGGGACGGGCAAGAACAGGCTCAGGCTTCCCCAAGGTCACTCAGCAAAGCCACACTAGCACGGAGGCTCTGTCTACACTCCAGCCCACGGCCCCCTGCCAGGAGCACACTCCCTCCGCAGCAGGGAGCTGTTCCCGAGAGACCTAAACAGGAGCGACTCTGATCTTCCAGGGACTCAGAAAAGCTGGCAACGTCTGCCTGCCTTCTCCAGAAGGGCCCGTGCCTCCCGCCTCGGGGCACAGTGGGCAACTTGTTGTCCAGCTCCTCGGCCCACGCTCGGCCTGAGCTGTGCGTCCTGGACTTGGAAACTTAGCTCAACTGAGTATTTTTAGTCCATTCTGTCTGTTCCTGAGCTAATGTGGGGAAAGAAAGGTGAGGTGGCGTTCTGTTGCAGACTTTACTGTTCAAATAAAAAGGAGGGAGCCCAGCGGGAGGGATTCAGACCAGTAGGCTCTGGGTGAGCAGCTCCGAAGGGCTGTTCCCTGGCTGCTCTGTTCTGAGATGAAACCCTGCCAGGAACACAGAGCTGATATCCCCTCGATGGCTCACTGAAGTTTGCAGGGGAGGTATGGCTGGTTTTCTGTAGCGCAGGAGGGGCCCCTGAAGTCTATGATGTAGCCTAGGGGGGATCCAGTGTGTAGGGGCACTGGGTGAGCACCAATTTCCCTGGCAGGCTTTGTGGGGGGCTATAGCCCATGGTCCCATGTAGATGGCCCTAAGCCAGGTGCTTCAAAAAGCTGCTCTGTGCCTATCTGGTAGCTCTTGGTGTGGCTGGAACTCTACATTCAGGGCTAATTCCTGGCTGTTGCCATGCTGGGAAGAACACCAAACAGGCCAGCTGCCGGCTGGGAACCACCAGAGGGAGCCTGGACCTGCGATCAGAGCTGGGACTGACTCACCACCCTGGGAACCCGGGGTCTGGAGTGTGTGGACACCGCACCTGCTCAGAGCCAGGGAGCAACCCTGGCCCACGGAGGCCTCCATAGGCCCTTCCTAAACTCGGGCCCCAGTGACCAGTGTGCAGACGGCTCCTAGACCTCCAGGCAAACTGATGGGTGCCAGCCTTTCAAGGCCACTCACTGCAGACAACCGGACTGGGGCAGAGACCTCTCCACACTCTGGACAGCCCTGCCCATCCTTAGGTGGCTCCTTAGTCCACCTCTCCAGAGCCTCAGCCTGCACTGGGCACTGCCCCTCACTTGCCCACCATGCAGATGGCACCCGAAGACAGCCCCCCCGGGCCCCCTGCCACTCGCTCTGTGCCAGGACAAGCACCCCCACCTCCTGTCCATAAGGCAGCAATGGGAGAACGAAGGAAACTTTCAGGAGGCTGCTGATTGATGCCAGGCCCACCTCGGTCTCCCTGTGGGGCTTCCGTCCCTAGCCAGGCCCAGGAAGAGGCAGCGCCAAGGCCCTGGACTGCTCAGTGGTGCTGGGGCGGGGGCTTGGCAGCCTCATCCCAGCTGTTGGGAGATCCGCTGCTTTCTTCCCAGAATGTAAAGTGGCAGCACACAGGATGACAGGAGGGCTGGCTCTTGGACTTGGCATCTCCTGCTTTTGTGCAGCCGACATCGGCTGAACCCCCGAGGCACAAGCGGAGGCTCCCTCCCCACTCCAGCCCTGATTCGCTCCGGCACAGAAACAGCCTGCTCTCGGGTCAACGGCCCTGGCCTCTGGGTGGCCCGAGCACCTGCCCCGTCCAGACCCTCTGCCTGTGGCCAAGAAGACATCTCAACCACGAAGGATTCAAACTGAGGGTGTGTGCCTGGGACAGGGGGCCTAAAACGTGGTCAGCCCCTGAGCGATCTGTCACACCCACTTTTCACCTCACAGGGCTCGATACCGCCCAGCAGCCCACAGGACAGCCAGGGCAGCTCACCTCCCGTCACGGGCGCCCTGGTGGCTTCACCTCAGCCCCCTACAACCTCCCACGCGCCCTCAGCTGGTCAGCCCCCACCACAGTCAGCACTGGCTCCTTTTTCACAAGAGAAAAACGGGCATCCAGGGACGAAACCCCTTTTAGGGTGTCTACGTATTGAACAACCATGTTTTTGAGCCAAAAACTGTCTACAAAGCATGCATTGGGAAGCAGGATCCGCCTTGGCTCTGCCCAGGGAGACCTGAGGCTGTCTTCTTGTTGCCCTGAGCTAAATGACCCCACACTGCACTAGGCCCTGTTGCACACAGGCCTGCTCCACAGACAGCCCACAGTGGTGCGCAGCACTGACCACGCTGGCTGCAGAGGGCAGGGCCTGGTGGGTGCAGTGCAGGGTGGGGGCCCTCGTCTCTGGATGCCCTCTACCCCGAGGCCGCCTGAACACCTGCTGCAGAGGGGCTCGCTGAGCACGCACTCTCTCCCCGCCGGGAGGGATGAAAGCGTTCCACGGTGGGAGAAGGCCTAGAAGGGACCGTGCAGTGACACCGGAGGGTGCCTGAGCCAAACATGCTGCAGCCAACAGCCAACATGGAGAAAACCCAAAGAGAAATCCCATGGCTCTAGCGTGCAGAGAAAGGCCCACAGGGTGCCAGCACCTGCCCGGTCAGGTGGGAGGATCCAGAAGGACCCGTTTCTAACCAGCAGAACCAACAGAACCATGACCAGAGGTTCCATCTCAGCATCGGCACCTGACCCTCCTCCCCGTCTCCAAGGGCAACATCCCTCAGAATGCACTGGGCCAGGTGAGGTGGCTCACGCCTATAATCCTAGCACTTTGGAAGACCAAGGTGGGTGGATCGCTTGAGCCCAGGAGGTCTAGACCAGCCTAGGCAATATGGTGAGACCTTGTCTCTACTAAAAATACAAAAAAAAGTAGCTGGGTGTGGTGGTGCAGACCTGTGGTTGGGAGATTGAGGTGGGAGGATTGCTTGAGCCAGGGAAGCAGAGGTTGCAGTGAGCTGAGATCTCGCCACTGCACTCCAGTCTGGGTAACAGAGCGAGACTTTGTCTCAAAAAAAAAAAAAAAAAAGACTGCTCTGGGGCACTGAGTCATGTGAGCTCCCCAGAGCATCTGCTGAACACAAGGGGGCGTCTGCAAGCTGGGTGACAGGTCTGTGCCAAGGGGCCCAGCTCATAGGGGTTCCAAGCAGGGGCCTTGCACTCCCTAGGGGTCTGTCCACCTGCTGCTCCCAGCCTCCACTGCTTTATTCCCTGTCCTGCACCTCGAGTCAGCTCAGGCCTCTGGAGGTGCCTGCTGCACTGCCCTGCTCTATCCCTGGGCACAGCCACCTGGGCACCCCCAGCCCACCCTCTGGCCTGGCCTCAACCCACCCTGCCTGGGGCCATTTTATCTCCTCTGATCTTCACAGAGGCCAGGCTCCCTCTATACTTCAAAATTTAACACATTCTGTTTTCCTGGAACTTTCTCTTCCAGGAAGTGGGGTGCCCCACACCAGGAGAGTGAGCTGAAAGCTCTCCCTAGGCCCTAGGGAGCGACGGCTGGACAGGCTGCGCCGGCTGCCCCTCCCTAGCCGCGCCTTGGCATCCACCCCGCTCCTCCTCTACTTGCAGCGCAACCCCCGACCCCTCGGCATCTTCCATGCACCCACCTCAGCGTCTTCCTGCCCATCTGCTCACACTACCCCTGCCTGCATCCCTCCCTCCTGGCCTCCAAGCCTGGCGCAATCCCACGGCCTCCGCCCAAGTCCTCAGCCTCAGCGCTCACAGGGCTGCCCCCGCCCCTGCAGTCTTTCCCCTGGAGGTGCTTGGTCTCCTCACAGACCCCACAGCTCTCCCTTCTCTTTTGCGCTGCCCTGTGGGTTACCCAGGAGCAGCAGATGTGCCAGTGGATGGCTCAACAAGAAGTCCAGCTTCCACAGCCCAGCGGCAGAGACAGGAGGGGCCTGTCCCAGCCACATCCCAGCAGAGTGGCAGAGACTTCAGAGGCCTGGAGCTGATCCAGACAGGGCTTGAGAGGTGCCCAGGGCAGGGGCCCACCTGGGCTCTCCCTGGCCAGCAACTTCAGAGTGTCAGGGGACTGGGGGAGACATTATGGCCCAAAAAGACTAAGACCAAGACTTGCCTGATGGGGGCTAAGCCGTGAAAACAAGCAATACCACAAAACACAGCACGGGGGTGGAAGTGGGGCCTGGGTAGGTGCCATACCCGACAGCAACGCCCTGCACTGAGTCTCCCAGGTGCCCTCGCCCCCAGTGACAGCCCCAGATCGAGCCACACACGCAGGAGCCGGAAGAGGAGCAGCAAGTGAGGCACAAGGCCAGCAGGGCCGGGAACCGGCTGCGGAGAAGGAACCACAGCTGGCTGCCATAAGAGGACCCAGAGACGCAGGGGTGTGGGGGGAGGCACCCACCCCTCCCCAGACTCAACTCAGCAACTCACCAGACACCAGGCCGCCCAGACCCACAGACTAACGGCCCAGACGACACGGTGGCCGAAACGGGGCAGCCTGTTAAACAGACGAACGGGAAGCCCTGGGAAGGCCCTGGCATTTCTACATGGCCCTTGTGTCCTCGACCTGCCTGCCTGGAGAACGATGACCCACGTGGACCTCTGATGGAGTGGGTGGATGGCAGTGGACGCCTCCCACGGGCATGGCCTCTGGCTCCCAACAAGTACAATGTATCTTTATTGTACAAGCAAAAAGTCACGTGCCCCAAACCAGCATATCCAATCCAATTGTTAAAAAGCTTAATTTTCCTGTTAAAAAGACAAAAGCCTAAAAATCTCGCAGCTTTTGGTTCACTGGCCGATTGTCCTGAGGGTGAAAAACAGACTGCCTGCTTTGGGACGGCCCCAGGCAGGCAGAGCCTTCCCTGGAGATAGAGATCCTGGGCACTAACTGTGTTCCAGGGGATCTGAGCAAGGCTGGGACTGGGTTTTGGCTTAGTAGCGATTGGAGGAACTGTGTCATTGACTTCATCCTTGTGGTCACAGGAGGTGACAGGAAAATACAGCAGTTAAAGTGCTCCCACTGGCTGGAGGAAGGGAAGGAGCCGGCCAGGCAGGATGCATGCTCCAAAGAAGAGCTGCCCGGGAGGCCGTCACTCTCCTATTTCGGGTTGGAGACAGCGGTGGGTGAGGAGCAATGACAGAGGGGACCAGACCTGCCCTTCCAGTGGGGAGGGGCTGGGGAGGCCCGAACTGGAGCACGTTCTCTCAGCATTTCCACATGCAGGGCACGGGGCGGTGGGTAGGCAGGGTACTGGGTGCTGGGATCTGGCCCTGGTACAGAAACCACGCCCTCCAGTGACCTTTAGAACCGTATAGGCTCACTATGTGCATGTCTTCACAGTCCAGACACGCGTGACACACACTGTGCATCTGGAGGAGGTTGGGGTTGTCTTTTTGTTGTCGCTGGAACTGGGGACAGCGGACATGTATATTTGCCACAATTGCAACAGAAAAAAAAAACTACATCTAACATAAAAAAAATTAAATAAATGAGGTGACGAAAAAAACGCAAAGGGCCCCAGACCATCTGGGCAGAGGTGCCCGGGGCGGAAGGCAGGCCAGCCGCTGCACATGCTTTCCGTGCCCAGGCACCAGCCACGAGCATGCACACGCGCTGTGCGGGGCTGGGGGGTAGGCGCGGGCGGCCGCCGCTCCGGGGACCGACTCATGGGGTTCCACTTTGATATTAAATAGGTGACTTCAATGGGGTGGGGGAGGCATCCTATGAAATGTATGAAAGGTAATGAAGACAGGGAGGGGGTCGGGGGAGAAAACCAAGGGCCAGGAGGTGATAAAATACAAAAGAACAAATACAGACAGATGGACACAGATACGGGTCCACTGAGGAATCGAGCACGAGGTTTGCTACTAGACTTATAGGTCACTCTCTCAGACGTTGGGTGGTAAACCGTCCAGCCTGCAAATGAATATAAAGGGAAGAAAACAAAGAGACACTCATCAAGTACAGGTTGCTGCGATTCCTCCTCCACACCAACAGCCACACCAGCCTCGTCACTTAACATCCACGGCTCCATCTAGCCCAGCCCGGAGCACCAAAGCCACTGACCATGTAATGGGAAGGAGGCAGCGGGAGAGCAGAAGAGAAGCAGCCCGGAGAGGGGCGGGCAGGGTGGGGTGGGCGGGGCGGGGCGGCTTCATGGTCACCATGATTTCTCTGGACAGAGATGGTGAGGACAGGAGAGCACCTTATTGAGCAGCTGCTGCTGTCCACGCAGCGTTGACGAGAGAATTTCCTCCTCAAGGCCAAACTCCCAGCTCGAAAGCTGTGCCCTCGTCCCCCCAGCCGGCCCTCTGGACTTTGGAAGGACCCGGTGTTTAGCACCATCTGGCTCCGCTGTGGGGGTGGGGGTGGGGCAGCCAGTGCCTGGGAACTGGCGCCGGAGCACACGGCCGGATGCCAGGTCCCCTGCCCTCCCCAGTCCTAGCCACTTCCCCAAGGTCCGCTCTAGCAAAGCATCACCTCCCCCTGAGCTGCTGACAAGCAAGACTTGGTGGTGGTTGGGACAACTCCATTCCTTTCATCCACAGACTACGTCTTTTTTCTTTTCTTTCTCCTTTTTAAAAGAAGCCTCTCAACAGCCTTTGCCACAGCTCGCAACCCCTCTACACAATACGGGCGTGCTCCTGGGGACACCACTGAGGCCCTACGTGGCTAGCACATGCTCGGAGACAGGCAAGCTGGAAATCACCTTGGCCACGCGCTCCGCCTCCATCACTGGCTAAGCCGGAGCAGATGTCCGAAGACAGGGAGGCCCGGACGGAGCAGGGCTGCTGGGTCTGCACTGCCTTCCCGCTCAGGCCCGTGCTGTCTGCAGTGAGCCCCGCACTGGCTTGGGCAGGGTCCTTAGCGGGAGGGCCTCTGCTGGAGTCAGCCAAGTGACCTGGGCGGGGGGAGAAGAGGCGACAGGCACGATGAGGCCCGCCGGGTCGGGGCTGTATGGATAGAGTCTGTTCTGCCTGCTCGTTGCTGGGTGACCTTGGGGAAGCTCACATCTCCTGCAGACCACAGGCACATGGCCGCATCTCCCACACAGGAGTGATGGGGAAGAGCAAAGAAAGTGCCCAGTCTCTACCAGCCCCCACTACCGTGCGGGACTTGTGTTGAGCAAATACAGTGACAGAAGACACACCCAGGCACAGAGTGGCCTGTGTACTTCTCATCTCAGTCTTCCCTTAGCTCTGGGAACTGTCTCTGAATTCGTGTAATGGGTGTAATTCATGGATGTGTACCCCAAGGCTGTGGGCTTACGGTGAGCTTATGGTGGCTTGCCTGGCATGCTCGGGGACTTGGGCTCACAGGGGCTCCAGCCCAGAGTGCCGGGGCTCTCAACCAGCAAGCAGGCTGCACTGCTGCTCAGCAGGCCTCAGGAAGCCCTGACACGCAGGGATGTGGGCTGGTGACTGCCCGGGGCCAGGACAGTGCCACTCCAGGACTAGGTGTCAGCTTTAACAAGACTGGGAGATCATCACTGTCCTCCCGTCCTCCCCAGCCCCTAACGACAGCTGCTCAGCTGGCACACACCGAGAAATGGGTCAAAGGAAGCAGCCGCCATCCGTCCACGCAGTGCCCTGCAGAGGAGCAGGTGAGGGAGGGCAGCCTGAGCTTCCCTGGCACAGCCTGCAGCCTAGGGGCTCAGGCCCAGCGCTGAGCAGCCCCTGCCCACTCACGGACCTTGCCTCTCTCTGCATGAGGACAGAGGACCAGGACTGCCTTCATGCTGCAATGACTCCCCTGCTCCAGGGAAAGGAGATTCAGTAAGGAGACAACCCCGAGTGGTCTTCGAGGTCCGAGGGTGTCACACCTGCACGGAGCCTACCTCCCAGGCTCACTCAGGGGTCCCCAGGCCCGCTCCCATCCCAGCCCTGCACCCGGAGGCCGACCTGTGCTGGAGGCCACGACCTTGAGCTGCCGCACCAGGGGGTTCAGCAGCTTGCCCGCCTTCAGCTTGCTCTTGCTGGTTTTTCTCCGGCGGCCAGTGGGGGGTGCCGTGTGGAAGAAGCCCACGTTGGGGGGCAGTGGCTTGCCCAGGCGGCGGTACAGAGCCTCGATCTCCTGCTTCTGCTGGCTCTGCAGCTCGGAGATCTCCTTCAGGTGCCTGCAGGAGGGGACAGGAGGGAGCGCCGCTGGGTTTCCTCGGCGTTTCCAATACCGCCAGCCCCTCCAGGAGGGAGGCGCCCTGGGAGAACATGGGGTGCAGGGTGGGCGCCCCGCCTGTGCCTTGGCCTGGACCACTCAAAGCGCCACACGGGGGCTGTAAAATGACACTGTTTGTTCACATCTAAATGGGGAGGTGCCAAGGTGGGGGGCCTCTGGCATCGATGTGCCCAACGACACGGGCCAGACTACAGGGCCTCAAACTTCCAAATACCTAGACTCAAACCGCTTCCACTGATACTTACAATGAAAGTCCCAAACACGAACACAGGCGAGGGGAAACCAGCAGGTGCCAGGCACCGGAGACTGCCTCTGTTTATCAGGCAAATGTGTGTTACTTCCCCCATGGGGGAAACAGAGAGTGGAAGGCCAAGGGATGCAGAGGGGAAGAAACAGAGGGGAAGAAGGTAGGGGGGTAGAATGGGGAGGGGAGTAGGCCGAAGGGAGGATGCGGAGGGGAGGAGGCCAAGGGGAGGAAGGTGAGGGGAGAATGGAGGGGGAGGAAGGTGAGGGGAGGATGCAGAGAGGAGGATGGAGAAGGGAGGATGGAGGAGGAGGAGGAAGGTGAGGGGAGAATGGAGAGGGGAGGAAGGTGAGGGAGGATGGAGAGGGGAGGAAGGTTGAGGGGAGGATGGAAGGGAAAGAAGGTGAGGGGAGGATGGAGAGGGAATGGTGGAGAAAGGAGGATTAAGGGGAAAGATGAGGGGAGGATGGAGAGGAGAGCATGGAGAGGGGAGAAAGGTGAGGGGAGGAGGCCAAGGGGAGGATGGAAAGGGGAGGATGGAAAGGGGAGGATGGAAGGGAAAGAGGGGGACGGGAAGATAGAGGAGGGAGAAGGGAGGATGAGGGGGGAGGAAGGTGAGGGGAGGATGGAGGGGAACAAAGGTGAGGGGAGGATGGAGAGGGGAGGATGGAGGGGAGAAAGATGAGGGGAGGAAGGTGAGAGAAGGATGGAGAGGGGAGGATGGATGGGGAGGAAGGTGAGCAGAGGATGGAGAGGGGAGGAAGGTGAGGGGAGGATGAAGAGGGGAGAAAGATGAGGGGAGGATGGAGAGGGGAGGAAGGCGAGGGGAGGATGGTGAGGGAGGGTGGTGAGGGGAGAAAGGTGAGGGGAGGATACAGAGGGGAGGAAGGTGAGGGGAGAATGGAGAGGGGAGGAAGATGAGGGGAGGATGGTGAGGGGAGGTTGGTGAGGGGAGGAAGGAGGGGGGAAGATGGAGAGGGGAGGAAGGTGAGGGAAGGCTGGAGAGAGGAGGAAAGTGAGTTGAAGATGGAGAGGGGAGGAAGGTGAGGGTAGGATGGAGAGGAGAGGATGGAGAGAGGAGGAAAGTGAGTTGAGAATGGAGAGGGGAGGAAGTAAGAAGAAGATGGAGAAAGGAGGAAGGTGAGGGGAGGATGGAGAGGGGAGGAAGGTAAGGGGAGGATGGAGGGGGAGGAAGATAAGGGGAGGAAGGTGAGGGGAGGATGGAGAGGGGAGAAAGTGAGGGGAAGATGGAGAAAGGAGAAAGGTGAGGGGAGGATGGAGAGGGGAGGAAGGTAAGGGGAGGATGGAGGGGGAGGAAGATAAGGGGAGGAAGGTGAGGGGAGGATGGAGAGGGGAGGAAGGTGAGGGGAGGATGGAGAGGGGAGGAAGGTGAGGGGAGGATGGAGAGGGGAGGAAGGTGAGGGGAGGATGGAGAGGGGAGGAAGGTGAGGGGAGGATGGAGAGGAGACAATGGAGAGAGGAGGAAAGTGAGTTGAGGATGAAGAAGGGAGGAAAGTGAGGGGAAGATGGAGAGAGGAGGAAGGTGAGGGGAGGATGGAGAGAGGAGGAAGGTGAGGGGAGGATGGAGAGAGGAGGAAGGTGAAGGGAGGAGGGTGAGGGGAGGAAGGTGGGGGGAGGATGGAGAGAGGAGGAAGGTGAAGGGAGGAGGG